AAAAACATATAAAATACATCCAGCTAAATATCATATAGCTCTACATTAACAGTACAACTGGAGCCGGATTACCCCTGGATTTTGTTTGTCATATTCAAGTTTAAAGTGATAGTCTGGAGTTTGTCAGAAAAAAGAGAGAGATAGATAGATTGATACTTCATTGATTTTCAGCTGTCCAATAGGAGCAAAAAAATAAATTGATCATTCTAAAAAGTGAAAGCTGCACTAACTGACTGATTTCGAAGCAGCGGTTTCGCTGGCCTCGCTCTTCTCCCCACACCCACAAAGTTATCACCCCCCACTACCCCACACCCACTGTTGTTTACAGAGCTAGCATCTCATGGATTGATCCATGTATGGGTTGCACTTTTGAACATGGATGGCGTGACCATAGAATGATAGAACCGGGAAGCGCTGAGAGGACGAGACTTTCTTTTGGATGTTTCGCTGTGTAAGCATTAACCGGTAACGAAGACACGGGAAGTTTCAGGTTAGCCTCCACCGCTTGTTTACCTTAGCTGTCTGTGCTAACAAGAGACCTGTGGCTTTTCTCAAGAAAGCGGGGGCCAGTGGTCCGCTGTGATTGGTCACAATCAGGACCTGAAACACATTCTCTTCCAAATCTGCCCTACTTATTCTTCAAAAGGACGTATATTCCAATGCATTGCATGGATATGGATGGCATTTTTGTAATGAATACAAAATTAAAGTCAGTTAGTGCAGCTTTAAACAATATTTATACTCAGCAGCAGCCCTTCAGGTCACAGCAGCAGAGATGGTCTAGTCTCTGGGTGGAGCAGGACAGGTCAGCGGCACGGTGGCTGAGTGGATAGCACTCTCGCCTCTCAGCAAGAAGGTCCTGGGTTCGAATCCCGGTTGGACCAGGGCCTTTCTGAGTGGAGTTTGCATGTTCTCCCCGTGTCTGCGTAGGTTTCCTCCGGGTACTCCGGTTTCCCCTACCACTAAAAATATGTCCAATAGGCATGTTTGCCATGCGCCTCCTGTACTGGCGACCCCGCTCCCATCTCTGTGTGGAGTGAGAGACAAATGCCCAAAATTAACAATTGTAAACCGCTTTGAGACTCAGATCTGCAGTGAAAAGGTGGTGTATAAATAAAGATTACTACTACTACTAAAGATTACAGCAGCAGAGATGGTGTAGTCTCTGGGTGGAGCAGGACAGGTCACAGCAGCAGAGATGGTGTAGTCTCTGGGTGGAGCAGGACAGGTCACAGCAGCAGAGATGGTCTAGTCTCTGGGTGGAGCAGGACAGGTCACAGCAGCAGAGATGGTCTAGTCTCTGGGTGGAACTGGACAGGTCACAAGGTGGAGTGGCCACGTGGTTCGGACTATATTTTCTGCTCTAGTCCAAAGTAAAATGCTAAATGCTTCATTAGTATTTTTCTAAAAGTTAGCAAAAGTTATCCACCAGTGGATTTTCACCTGATCCGCTTGGTTCAGACCATGAATCCTCTCTGCTCTGGTCTGACCAGTCCAAAACTATGAACACTGTACTGCAGCAACATCTTTGGTAGAAAAAAGCAAGAAAAAGAAAAATTGTAAAGCACAAAACAACAACTGTTTCAGAGCTACTTAGGACTTGCAGCCGTTTTCCAGCGCATTCAAAAGTAAAAAAAATAAAAATAGAATATATTTCTCAAAAAAATAATCAATTTGAGGATTTAAAAGAGCCATCAGTTGTAAAAGAAGAACCTGTCTGGCTGCAAGATACGACCTTTTTTGAAATGTCTATACCTTTAAACTACATTGACGCAAAGAGTCAAAGATTTCTAAAACAAAAATGGGGGAAAAAAAATCATAAATGTGCGGCTCTGCAGCTTGTACAGTTTCATAATTCTGAAGCTAACTTTTGATGCTACATATGTGTCGACGATGTAGAGCAGTTTTATTTTTTTCCATTTTCAATCCCAATTTATGGACTTCTGGTTTGTAACCTTTTTTTTCTAATTATTCTGAAGATCGACATCTCGCCATCTGTGGCATTGAGCCAATAGAAATAGCTTTGTAGCTGAAACATGTTGATCTCAACCATGCCGTTGTCTTTCAACAAGAACCTAAGCAATCAATTGAAAAACAGTTAAGAATAACAGCTTCTACTTGCTTTGAAAGTCAGACAGAACATGTGTGTAAGATATAGTTATTGGGACCCATCTCCAGTTGTACAACAGCGGAGAATTGAGATAAGATAAAAAGTTAGGGTAATATAGCTGAGCATTTGAAGTTCTTGGCTTTCGCAGTTCTCTCTGCTGCTCGTAAAGAATTGATATCTTAATCAGTTTTGCGAAATCTTTCATGGTAGATAACTGAAAAATGCATGCCCATGCGATCTCTCAGGCAGACTATATTTCCAAAGGCCATAGCCACAGTGTAAAAGCCCTATTAATTACATATTCTTAAATAAAATATTGAACAATCTTCCCCACGGTTTCCCGCTGAGAGAACCATCTGGCGTTTTCTCTTGAAACCCAAATTGCAAAGTGAATTTGCTAGACGTTAGAGTAAGTGAGTTTACCTGAGAGACTGAGGGAACCCCTTAAAGGCAACTTCAAATAAAGCAGCTAATGTCTTTATTTAAATGTGTGTTTAGCTGAAACATTATAAACCGAGGGCTGTTCATGTCCTTGAAAATAAAGTGTGCATATAATACAAACATGTTTTTCCAGCTCAGTGGCCCAGCAACCGCAAGAGCTTGCTGCATGGTGCATTTGATTGCGGCTCCAAACCTGATTTTGTAACAAGTTGTGGACTGTAGAAGTGAAAAATCGATCCGACTGTGTTCCCCCTGGGACTCTTTTATTGTCAGCTGCATTTGTTTAAGCCCAGCACAAACTGTAACTTGTGTTGTTTTATACAGTTTACATTTCACATAAGCTGCTGGAAATCTGTGTGAAGCATCAGGGGAGGTTGTGCTATACAACTGACAAACCCATCTATTGTTTGACTATAAGGTGTAGAATCACAGCAAAAAGCTAGTGTCTGTTTTGGCCTTTAGGTGCACAAAGCAAACATTTGGAACATTGAATGAATTACTTTCACTTTGGAAAAGAGGTTCTTAATCTCAAAGGGACTGTATACTAAATAAAGGTTAAAAGAAAATAAATAAATTAAAGAATTCATCAGGTACATGAGACCCTGTTAGACTGTTGGGGTCTAACAAAAATAACTGTGGTGAAGATCCAGGACACTAACCGTCTCCAACATTTATGGACATTTATCAACATTCATGGACATTGGTCGACTCCCTATGGACCAATACATTTGTGTTCTATATTTTTTTTGTGTTTGAACTATTTGATTCAATGCAATTTCAACTGCTTGGTTAAGTCCTCTGAGAAAACTACTGTTGTGATTTAGGGCTACACAAGAATACATTGAATTGAATGGATTGAGCCCTGTTATCTGTATAGATTTGGTTGTAAGATTACCACCACCCCCACAGAATTATTTTTCCACGACGGATTCTACCAGAGGTACAAAGTCCTGGAATGTTCTAAATTTCTCCCACTACGATAAGATGTCTATGTAGTAACACTGTATATTGATTACACAATGTATAGTAGATTGCATAAAATCTCCTGTAAGATAGAGACATGAGACAAAACAATGCTAGGGTTAGTTAATACCAGGAAAAGATCTTTACTATATTTATTCTATGTATAGTATTGACTTTGTTTTCCTTCATTTCTCTGTGCTCTTAAATTACTTGAATAATGATTTCGTCCAGGGCTCCCTTGAAAAAGAGGTTCTTAATCTCAATGGGACTTTCCTGGTTAAATAAAGGTGAAATAAAAAATAAAAAAATTACATTTCATCAATGTATATTTGAAACCAACGTCATATTTTTCCTCATATTTTGTTTTCTACTTCAAAACAACAATCTGTTCCACAAAATATACCCACTTTCGTAAGTCTCGCAGCATCTGCAGAACCACCTGAGCCCGATAAAGCCACCACTTGCCCAGAAACAGTCGCACTATTTCTTTTGGTGTAGATTATAAAATGAGATTCTCTGCCGTGAAACATGCAGCCCCCTTCAGCTCTGTGGCCCTGTGCTTTAGGGACTGAGAACAGGCCAAGCTGACACTATATCCTCCCCCTGTTAACCTCAGCGCACAGGGACATGGCTGCTGGCTGTTCATCCCAACGCTGTCATCCATATCGCTAAGTTACACCAGCTCTCACAGTCCAGGCTCTCAAGTTCAACTCAGTCCAACTCAGTTCAATTTATTTACCATTAACAGTATAAAAAACACTTTGGAATATATGTGAATGCCTGGTATTTATTAAACATTACAAATAAAATAAAATCCCATACTTCACAAATCTCTATCAAGTAATGGGACTTATGAAATGTCAGGTTATGCCAAAGTGAGAACTAAACATGGGGAGGCTGCATTTCAGATTCATGCAGCTAAAATCTGGAACAGTCTTCCTGAAAATGTGAGACAGACTTCTTCTCTGACAAAGTTTTCAGGTCCAGGTTGAAGGTAGTTCTGTTTGGCTGGGCATACAACTGAGGGATTCCATCTCCACTCTTTTTAATGCACTCTGATTATCTATGATTGATGTCTTGTGTGACGCTCTATCTTGTTTTGTTCAGCACTTTAAGTTGCCCGTGTATGAATTGTGCAATATGAATAAACTTTCCTTGCCTAGAACAATTAGCTAAAGTTGGGTGACTATATGCCCTCATTTTCCCAGACATGTCCTCACTAAAGAATTTCCTAAATCCATGCTGAATGTCTGTAATTCATACAGTGTCTGGGAAGGAGTCCCATTAAACAGCAATTAGCGCTTTACTGACAATTTGGGTGTAAATTATACACATCATTAGTATTAAAACATCCACCACATAAAGCTTTAATGGCACAAATTAACGTTTCTTTTCACATACTGTATATATCCGTATATTATAGGACTCATGTTTAAAAGAGTCAATTAACATAAAACATGACAGGCGTTTGGAGCCGGTGCCTTTCTCAGTCCAGCATGAGCACCGAGCCTGTCGAACAGCTGTGAGCAGGGGCGGAGCTCAGGCGGGAACTCAGGGGGGATCTCAGGGGGGACCCCAGGGCGGAGCTCAGGGGGGAGCTGACAACTGGGGCCTGTTGTAGATTTTAAATACAGCACCAATCGAAACACAATCATGTTTTCATTCATGTGCCAACATTTATCAAATTGTGAAATTCTGTATTTAATCATGACATGTTTTATCAAAGTGTTTTTATAGTATGTGTCTTCGTATTAGCCTGAGGTCAATGAGTTTAGAGCAGGACAATGGATAGCCTTGGAGTGTTTTTCTCAGAGAGAAGAACACTCTCTACGGACAGGAGATGAGACCGGACAGGAGATGAGACCGGACTGGAGATGAGACCGGACAGGATATGAGACCGGACAGGAGCTATGACCGGACAGGAGATGAGACCGGACTGGAGATGAGACCGGACAGGAGATGAGAACGGACAGGAGATGAGACCGGACAGGAGATGAGAACGGACAGGAGATGAGACCGGACTGGAGATGAGACCGGACATGAGATGAGACCGGACTGGAGATGAGACCGGGACCGGACAGGAGATGAGACCGGACAGGAGATGAGACCGGACAAGAGATGAGACAGGACAGAAGATGAGACCGGACAGGAGATGAGACCGGACAGGGGATGAGACCGGACACGAGATGAGACCGGACAGGGGATGAGACCGGACAGGGGATGAGACCGGACACGAGATGAGACCGGACAGGGGATGAGACCGGACTGGAGATGAGACCTGGACCGGACTGGAGATGAGACCGGACAGGAGATGAGACCGGACAGGAGATGAGACCGGACTGGAGATGAGACCGAACAGGAGATGAGACCGGACTGGAGATGAGACCGGACTGGAAATGAGACCGGACAGGAGCTGTGACCGGACAGGAGATGAGACCGGACTGGAGATGAGACCGGGACCGGACAGGAGATGAGACCAGACAAGAGATGAGACCGGACAGGAGATGAGACAGGACAGGATATGAGACCAGACAGGAGATGAGACCGGACAAGAGATGAGACCGGACAGGAGATGAGACCGGACAGGAGATGAGACAGGACAGGATATGAGACCAGACAGGAGATGAGACCGGACAAGAGATGAGACCGGACAGGAGATGAGACAGGACAGAAGATGAGACCGGACAGGAGATGAGACCGGACAGGAGATGAGACCGGACAGGAGATGAGACCAGACAGGAGATGAGACCGAACAGGATATGAGACCGGACAGGAGATGAGACCGGACTAGACCAGACCAGCCAGGGTCTCCGGTTTTACTATATGGAGCAATGATGAGACCGGACAGGACAGCCTCCTGTTGGTGCCCAGAGTCGGGACTAGACATGGGGAGGCAGCGTTCCAGACCTATGCACCTAGAATCTGGAACAGTCTTCCCGAAGGTGTGAGACAGGCTTCTTCTTTAGCTATGTTCAAGTCCAGGCTGAAAACGGTTCTTTTCAGCCGTGCCTACGACTGATCATCAAGAAATCATATCATAAATTTATTTTTGATCTATATATTTATTCATTTTCTTAAACTGTCTTTTGTATTTGTTTTTACAGTCTGTTTTTAAATTGTTTATAAATTGCTTTTAAATGTTGCCGATGTGAAGCACTTTGGGTTGCATTCTGTATGAACTGTGCTATAGAAATAAACATTGATTGATTGATTGATTGAGATGAGACCGGACTGGAGATGAGGCCGGACAGGAGATGAGACCGGACAGGAGATGAGACCGGACTGGAGATGAGACCGGACGGGACATAAGACCGGACAGGAGATGTGACCGGACAGGAGATGAGACCGGACTAGACCAGACCAGCCAGGGTCTCCGGTTTTACTATATGGAGCAAAAATGACTTCTTCGTAGGCACTTCCTCTTCTTCTACACATTTTCATAAAACGGTTTTGTATGACATAGTTGGTCTGAGCAGGGGCAGGGAGGTCTTCACCGAGCGCCTGGCTGACCTCCAGTTCGGGAAGATAGGAGCTCAGAGAGTTTTGTATTAGTATTTGATTGCAAAGAGATTTTAATGTTATTTATTTGAACTCTTGAATATCTTTGTCTTCTTTTATGGTATGAAGTCTTATCACGACAACATTCTAACTACAAGATGAGAAGGGCATTCTGATGCATTGGGAACATTTTGAGTGCACTTAAAGACAAATGCTGACAGTGCAATCACTCCACAAACAAGTGCATGTGAATTATGCTTTGAAATCTAGTTGTGGGTCAAATCAATCATTCTTTCATTCAAACTTAAGTTCGAGGATAAACTAGACCAGTTCAAAGACTCATGGTATCATTCAAGTGGATAATACAGTTACTATTGTATAACTGTAGACTCTTCATAAATGATATCCCATATTAGTTTATTTCAAGCTTGGTTTGGCAAATGCTCATTCTAATTTATCTCAGATTATCACAGATAAGACACCTGTCAATATGAGAGTGCTGAGCTACAACCAGGGTCCATATGTTGATTTTTTTTTGTTATTTGGACTTTTGTAGATATTTTCATGCCCTTTTTTGTGGGTTATTATAGATCTACATAATCTTCAAACAGTCACAGTTGAATAATCGTAATTCTTCATATTCATCTGATAAATGAGACTTTCGTGGACTCGGATTTGCCTCAATAGTGAATATTTAAGTCCCCGTCACCAGTCTAATCAAGGGCATCAGAAGATCAGCTCCTCTTGCAGCATCACACCCCTAATCAGTGGATTGAGGCCGCAATTACGCTCTTGTCTTGATTTGCATTCTTCCACGTAGACTGCAGGACAGAATATTGCAATTTACATCCAGGTCGGATAGAGGTGTATCATGTAAAAAGTTTGTATAAGGGCGAAATATATGATTTCAGTTCCCTATAATTGGAACACGTTTGCAAAAAATCAATAATAAAAAATACAACACACACACACACACACACACACACACACGCACACGCACACGCGCACACACACAAACACACAGCAAATTCAGCTGAATAAATTAGAATCCGAATATTTTGTTATTAAGTGCAGCGCATGGAATGAGACTAAATTAGTGTGCCGGAAAACCTTTTGTAACAATAATGAAATATTGGAAACATTTGTGAGGTCTTGAAAAGGACACAAACTAAATTTTCTTTTTTTAAAACACTCACTCTCGCATTCTACTTTGCTTTTAGGAGAAAATAAAAAACAGAACCAAAATCTCCAAGTGTTGATTTTATGGGTTTCTTCTTTCAAACAGTTTTCCTAAGGCTCTACTCCCCAAATGTGTGCAGGCATGGGCGATAACTCCAATCTGAAAGTCCACAGTCAAGTCGGGTACTTTGTGATGCAGTTCCTCTGAACCTTGACTTCAAAGAACTCTTTAAAACGCTGGCAGGACTTTACTAATTATGATTGAATGTATGTTATCAAGAGGACTGAATGTTGTGCAGGTTATGGCAGATTCAAGCTCTATATATGCTTTATGTTCAAAACAACTGGTGAGCCTTTCACAGGAATCTTTCTTGAGTCAAAAGTAAAATGTTTTCTAATGAGATAATGACGGCATGATGTGGTCTGGCTGATCACAAAAAGTTACTTTACAAAACTCTTTATGCAAACTATTAATTATGAAAACGTTAGGTACACCAATGTTAAGATTGATGCTTCTTGTTAAAGGTACATAGGATTTTCCCGAATCTTAGGAAAGAAGCGCCCTCCTCAGAGGAAGCGCCTCTTCTCTCACATATCACCAGAATGATTGACAAATAGGAGGGCCAATGGTCTAGATGATCTACCTGGAAAAATAAAATCCTCCCATATATCTTTAAGTTGCTTTTCATGCTTAAACTAACCGTAAGTAAATCCTGCAAAATGCCTGCCCAGGCAACAGGGGGCAGCGGACTCCAAACCTGATCTTTAAACACACCACAGCATAGGATGCAACATTACCAACATGTTCTTTGATCAGGGTTGGGTCCCCTCACACCTGGTCCATTCGACAGCCTGTTTTTAATGCACTTCACAATATACTTCTCCGAGGCCGCGTCCACGTCCACTCTTCGCCCCGACCACTCTGATTATTGGAGATTCCATTGTGAGACACGTCCGCTTCTTTAACGCGGTCACTCGCTGTATTCCCGGAGCTACTGTACCAGACCTGCTCATACGTCTCCCTCCTCTGCTTCAGTCCCTGCCTGATACCGTTTCCAAGGTAGTCGTGCATGTGGGAATTAACGACATGAAACTTCAGCAGTCAGAAGTCACTAAGAAACATTTTATGGATCTGTTCCACCTCCTTCAATCCTCCGGATTATCTGTTTTTATTTCTGGTCCAATCCCGACTGTAAGCAGAGGTGACTGCCTCTACAGTCGTCTTGTGGCGCTGCATATGTGGATCCAGGCTACATGCAGCTCTTTTAACTTTGTCTTTGTGAATAACTTTGCCCTTTTCTGGAAACGTTACGAAGCCTATCGTCCAGACGGATTACACCCAAACAGATACGGTAGCAGCCTGTTGATGGACTACATGCGTTACGTTGTTCAGCGTTCCCCGAGGGGGGCGTGACTGTTTACATCTGAGCCCCCTCGGACCCCACCGCACTCCCCCGCCTCCTGCTCACCAGCAGCGGGTGAGTACAACGGTGCAAACACTGCTCCCTGTCCGTCTGGAAGTGCATTACCAGTCCAAACACTGAACTGTGCTGACTCCCTTCTGACTCTGGGAGCTAAAGAACAACAAGGGTTTTCACATTTTAGGCCAATTGAGACTGTGTGTGTTCCTCGCACCAGCTCAAAAATGTTTTTAAATTCTAAAAAACGAAATCAAAACAGGACAGCAGTTAGACGGTCCAACTCTGCAAATCTAATTTCTGTTCCCTGTAGAAATCAATCAACCACATTAATCGACTCTGACGTTATTTTTAAACTTGCTATGCTTAATGTCAGATCTCTATGTAACAAATCATTTTTAATTAATAATTTTATCACTTCTTATGATCTTGATTTTATGCTTATGGCTGAAACATGGCTCGACCAAAATACAGGAAATGCAGTTCTAATAGAAGCAACACCACCCAATTTTAAATTCGAAACCGAAGTACGAGAAAACAAAAGGGGGGGAGGCATAGCTGCAGTTTTTAGAGAGCACTTTGTCTCCCATAGAATGCCCCTTGGAAATTTTTCATCGTTTGAGTATATTTCTTTAAAAATGGAACAAAAGCAATCTTCTACTCTTTTCATTGTCCTGTACAGGCCACCACAGTCATGTTGCGATTTTATTGACCATTTTACTGAACTACTTTCATTCGTGTGCACAGATTTTGATAGTTTAGTTATTACAGGTGATTTTAATGTACATGTTGATAATGTTGATGACAGAAATGCAAAGGAGCTGGCTTCTGTATTTGAGACCTTTGGTTTCATTCAGCACGTGAGTGGCCCCACCCACAGCAGGGGGCACACTCTTGACCTGCTAATTACAAAGGGGGTTAATGTATCAAATGTTAATGTAGTTGATGTTGCTTTGTCAGATCATTTTTGTGTATTTTTTGACATGTGTTTTGCTAGCAAACCACCAGCTGAATTTACAATTGTTAGAAGAAGACACATACATGAAAACACAAGTGAACTGTTCATGGGAATGCTAAATTTTGAGAAAACTCCATGCTCTACTGTTGATGAATTGTATAACTCTGTCACCACCAGTGTTCTGACTGTTCTGGACGCCATTGCTCCTGTGACGGTTAAAATAGTTACCAGTAAGAAAAAGGCCCCATGGACTAAGGCAGACTCGGTCAGGGCACAGAAGCAAGAGTGCCGGAGGGCCGAACGGAAGTGGCGAAAGTCCAATTTCCAGGGCGATTATAAAATCTTTAAAGATGAGTTGGGTGAATTTAACCGGGTTCTACGTAGAACAAGAGAAATGTATTTTTCTGACATTATTGGAGGTTGCAGTAACAATTTTCGTGTTATGTTTGCAACAGTTGGTAGATTAACGAACCCCCCTGTAAAGTTGCCCCTAGAATTTTCCTCTAAATCTAGGTGTAATGAGTTCGCACAGTTTTTCGATGAAAAAGTACAAGGAATCAAAAACACTATCACCTCCACAGCACGTATAACAATGCAACAGCCAGAGAAGCTTGTTGAGCTAACTCACTTTGCACCTGTGGATACTGAAACTGTCAAAAAGATAATCATGAGTCTGAGTTCCTCCACATGTAGCCTGGATATATTGCCCTCTAAATTTCTGAAGTCCGTCCTGAGCAGTTTGTTACCTTCACTGACACAAATAGTAAACATGTCTCTGTCGTCAGGAACATTTCCTATGGCCCTAAAAACAGCAGTCATAAGACCTCTCCTAAAAAAGAGCAGTCTGGATCCTGCGGGACTTCAAAATTATTGCCCCATATCGAATCTACCATTCATTGGAAAAATTCTTGAAAAAGTGGCCTCCCAACAACTTACTGAATTTTTAACAATGAATAATTCTTTTGATATGTTCCAGTCTGGGTTTAGACCCCACCACAGTACTGAGACCGCTCTAGTGAAGGTAACAAACGACATTCGACTTCACACTGATGCAGGTAAAGTCACAGTTTTGGTCATGTTAGATCTTAGTGCCGCGTTCGACACTGTCGACCATGAGATCCTCATGCAGAGACTGGAGGACTGGGTTGGTGTCACTGGCACAGCCCTAGACTGGTTTAGGTCTTACCTGGAGGATAGGAAGTACTTTGTGGAGATTGGAGACTGCGTCTCAGATCATGTGGCCCTGACCTGTGG